TTCCGTGACCCTGAGCAGGCTCTACATAACGCCTTTTCTACGGAAGGTGTCCTTATGAAGGCCCTATCAAGCCACAAACGGACGACCGTTCCTGACGCTCTAATCGATTCATTTGCTGAGCAAATTATGAAGCGAAGGGATTGGTATGAAGCGGCCGTGATGCTGCATGGATATATGAGTACACATATGCAGCCGTATCTTCGGTAGCGGTTATTGGCAAGATGCCTACGGGAAACTCGTCCAAAATCGATATTCAAGTCATTGAGAACGGAGGCTTTTTCTTCACGGGATTTTAACCGTTTCACTCCGTTCTTTCGCCATTTACCCCCACCCCCCTATATAAGCCGCGTCCCACTAAGCATTTTAGGCCGAGCGCCAAATCATCGTGCCAACTGCCTTAAACAAGGAGGACTCTCCGCCTTAATGCCTTTACCTTAACTTTCCGCGGCGAAGCCCCGGCAATGGTGCTTTTTTGCCCATGTTTAGATTCGCGTGATAATCGAAAAAGTATGCGGTTAGGAGGAAACGGTCGGGGGCATCTTGGAGAAAAATACAAATAAGGAATCCGAAGAAATGTTGATATGTGAGGCCCGGATCTAGCTCGCTTGGGGCTGAGGCATGCTTATATTCCACAAATACAACAGTGGTTAATGACAGACGAATAACGAAATTTCAGAAGAACCAGCAGCCATAAAACGAATTTTGATTGGAGGCAGTAATCGGTTTGTATCCATATAATCGCTTACACAAAACTGCTCAGTCATTTGTGAACCATTCTCGCCTGGCTATCCAGTTTAGCACGACGATTATTACGTCAGCTCATATGCACAATAGTCTGAAATTAGGCTCATCGAATTCGATGAATCAAAGAACGATAGACAAAGTTGGCCTTCTAGATCAATTGGGAGGGGCCTACTGGAGGCGTTTTTTGAGTCCCCTTTCAAAGTGCTTCATCACTGTAGAGTCCTCGGACAACTTCTCTTCCATATTTCAACAAGGTATACTCCTTATCCCTGCGCCAGAGTAGGCGTGGCATTTGAACATGGCACGGAACTGGTTACTCGTGGAATTCCAGTCTGGGACAACTGTCATCTTGTTCTGTGTTGGACAGAGACACGACAACAATTGTGTCAAGATGAAAATATCTCACCAGAAGCATAGACACCTTCAGGTTAAGTTGAAACATGCGGCCACGCCTACCCGATCTCAGGGATTTCGAGTATATCTACGTGTCTTCTTATCGCGAACCAAGCCTTCAAGTGTTAAGCGTCAGACCAAAGGCTCGTATTCTTTCAGAGCTCACTCACATTATACCGCTGAGCGACCACTTGCAAAAAGGCATGAGGTTTCACAAAAGTGGTATTTCATTGCATTTTTCAATACACCTTCATTTTTGTGCCATCGGGTTCTTAATTTCTAAACACCCTCTCATCATCGAGACTCACATTGTGTGAAGTTGTTTCACGCGTCTTTACACTCCATATCCCGGAGATGGAGAGGGCGTGGCTGTGCTCTTCAATGCTTGCGAATGCTCTCAAGGTGGTGTATTTTCGTTCTAGGACAAGTGTTCCCAGCAGGGATGACAGTTTTCAAATGGAAACAGCCTACGAAAAACACATCTTGCGCCATACCGAATTGATCATCCAGCCACGCCTTCTACATCTTCGTGACATGGAGGGCATTTCTGCCGCATGGTGTGGTGAAAAGCGCGTCATGTTGGACTTTCACTAGTTTGTGTCAACTAATCGGTCTCACTTTGGTGAGACCTAGAAACTCCTGTGAAGCTGTGAAATGGTACAAGTGGTTACTTTTGTTATAGTGCTTAACAGACAAGCTCTGCGTCATTTGGTCAACGTTCGGCTTTTCCTAATGAGGCGCTCGATTCTTTCTTTTCATCCATTTTCATTTTTTGTACTGAATAATTGAATATCTTCTCACATTACCTGGAATATATGAAGCTTTTCTCCTACGTTTTGGGTTGGTAAAATTTAGCGCGACAACTTCTTAAGATTTACATTGAGAGATGCAGACTTACTTTTAGATGCTTTATGATTCGTCGAGCTCATAGCCCACGCTGGTAGTATGGGAGGGGTCAGTCCTATCATGAACCTTCTTCGCTGGATCGCTCTTCATTGGTCCCTTTAGAGAGGAGCGGCACGCCAGTGAGGAAGGCACGATGGTAGACATGAGCGTGAAATGTGCTGTTGTTGAAGCAGCATTCAGACTTCGCGATAAAGCTCTCAACGCGCTACAATTGCAAGAGCGCTATAATCTTGTAAATGAGAACACGCCGCCCTAGCAGCGAGCGGCGATCGATATTTGACTGCGTTGATTAGGCAGACATTCCCATATTCTCACAATACGTCAGCGGGCGTCGGCCGATACGCTTCCGTGTTCTGCGGCTGGCGTCTTGCATCCATAGCACTAAAGAGCGCCTGTTGCAACTAGTAGCGCGCGCGGCTCGCGAAGTCGGAGGTCGCCGTAGTCGCTCGGCGTGTAGTTCTTTGAGAAGCTTGTAATGTAATGTGGACCGGGAAAACCACTTTAGATTACGCATCTCAACATAAAAGAAAGTAGTTTTGACTCAATTTAGGATGAGAAGTGCTGCCGTTGTTCTGCTCACGGCTTGCGCTATATTTTGCGCAGTTTACGCACATCGTCACAGGGGTATGCCGCCCCCAGCATTCCTCAGCTCCTTTAATGAAACAGTTCGCAAGGGATTCTTCGATATTATTAAGAAACCGAATCTGACATTAGAGGAGAAGAAGGCACAGGTCATGAATTGGGCAAAGACCTATGGATTGGAGGTGTGTTGCTTTTTTCGAGTTTTCCTCGTCAGCTGCCCTAGTTGATAGTTATGAGGTTGTCACGGCCTTAATCCCTTTCTATAGAGAAAAGGAGCTTAAAATTTTCATTCTTTATGCTGTTACTACGGTGTATGTATGTGGAGATGTCTGTAGGCCCTCACGATACGCTCGCAAGCCAGAGGTCCACAGTTCTTTACCTTTTAGGCTGCAAGCCACTTCCTCTGACCGCGAGCTTAGCGCTCCATCATCGATGAACCTGAAGAGCGTTGCGGCTACAGGTGCATGCTGCTACAAGAGGAGCTCAACTCCTCCTGAACGTACCCTCCTTCTGAAAATCTTTCGAAAAAGTTGTTGGTACGGATCATCGCTGGACAAAAACGCTAAAAATTGGAGTATTGAATTACCGCGGATATATCCAACGCGCCATCAAGAGGGCGATGCTCGGACTTTCCCGCTACACGCATGTGCTTAACATGAAGTAGCAAAATGCCTCCTCCTCTTTCCCCCCTCTCGACCCGAACAGAGTAGAGTTTATAGCTGTTTGCTTATCGATGTAGAAAATCTTTTCAGGAGCAAGCGAAAAAGCAAATCGAAAAGATTGAGGGCATGATGAAGAAGGTAAGATCAAACACTGCTTTTTCCACTTTTTGCTTTAAATCGGATTGTTCCCAAAAACCTCACACTTTTTCCAGTCGTAGCCTTATTGCTCAGTTTGTGTGTTAACAGTATGGCGCCAATATGTTCTACCACTTCTGCCACGTAGTCAGGATACTTGCTAACGGCAGGGCATGTGAGGGGTGTAAATCAAAAGGCAGCTAGAACAATCTTCCCCCGTATTATTGCGAAGTGGATGGCATCATTGGGGAAAAGGCCGCCTCAGAGTGCTTCAATAGAATGCGAAGTCTTTTTCTCCGGCTCTTTCTCAGCGTCGAATTTTAATTCTCTAGGGTCACCTTCGGGTTCTTCTGAAAACAGGTGGTAGTCAGACGTGTCATGTGGGGAGAACAGGAGCTAAGTAGGACTTCCGGGTAAATCGCAATGGAGCTTCCCACGTGTCGTCGGGTACTACCATGAAATAGAGCAACATGGCCGACTTGATCAAGCGGACCCTTTCTTCCAATTTTTATATTTAGGAAAAGCTCGTTAGGGGGAGGGGTACGGTGTACTCTGATGGCAGCAGTTGACAGTACATAATAATGAAGAATAGAGGTGGGAGAGGACGTTCCCCTTTTTTGAATTACCACAACTTTGTCTGATGTGGGAAAAGGAAATCAGGTCTGGAGAGCACTGGATCTACTCTCCTCAGTGTGCTGTGAAATTGCTTCAGATGTTTCCTTTCCCAAGGACTGCCTTTTTCGTGAAATATTGGAATCGTTGCGGGAACTTCGTGTCACATTCAAGTTTTTATGGTTTTAACAAGCCGACTTTTCTCGTAGGTAGTCCAGTTAGCGAATAAAGGCGGTGATGGGATTTAGATGTTTTCCTCTCGATAAAAATCTTGCCTTTTTCCGTAGGACTAGGAGTTGGAAAATGTTCCTTTTTGTTGTGGAAATTCCCGAAAGCTTTAGAAAGGTCACTGCTTTGGCAGCCTAGCTATTCCACTTCGTTCAGAGACCTAGATAGGCTTCTGGAACACAATTCTCGCTAATTTAAGATTTCTCTTGTCTAATGGTAGGGCTCATCTGAGTTCCTTAGAGAGACCACGGGAAGCGCCCGTGCACAGAAACTCTTTCTAAGTTCCCAAGATAAGTTCAAAGGTTAACTGCCTTTCGTTCGATCATTATTCAATGCTGACTGATCCCTGCGCTTGGGATGATCCATCCCCTCACCAGCGGTAAAATATGGCTCCCCTATCCTGAAGACTTCCACAACAGTGATGTGTCCTGATTATGTATTTCTAGTAGATGTTTTTTGCAGCAATGAAAGGAAGCTCTGATGGCGGCGAATCCATAACAAACCAAATGGGCAATATCCAGAAGCCGTATTCAACATCGAATTTTTGGCATAGTTGATGTACTGTGCATAATAAATATGGCTTCTACTGTCTTTTCATTGGTTCTTACTTTTCTCCCCTCCTATCGGGGCACGCTCCTCCCACTGCGGGCGTATTTCCCTACCAATCTCTCCTTTGCTCACTACCACTAGACTTTTTCAGCATCCAGGCCATAATGGGACAGAAATTCGAATTTATGACCCTGGCTCCGTTTGCTGACCGAATCCTTTTTCTCTCGTGCGTGGTCTGCTCCGGGATCGCTCAGTTCTGGACTTTGCAGCGTCCACTTCGGCAAACGCCTCATTTGCAGCGGATGTACCTTCCTCTTCTCAACCTTCAACCCCTTGCTAACTTCAATTCCACTTTCTAGTGCTCAGCGCATTGAGCCGGACTAAAACGTGAAGAGCGCGTGCTGGATGGTGCCGCTCGGACCACTGTGGGTGGGTCTCGTCATCCTACAGACACAATCGCTCATTGTCAAATCGAACAAGGTGAACGATGCTCCACACGCGTTTATGAGGTCGAAATGTCGAGCCCTTAACTGATTGGACCGGTTCAAGTACGTCGTAGAAGGCAGTGTTTTTCGGCCATACAGATAATCATCTCCGAGTTGCCACTGCTACTTGGGTTTTTCGAATGAGCGCCAAAAGTGGTGTTGAAAACGCTCATTTTCGCTTGCTAAACACTCAAATTTTGATGTCACAAAATGCAGTAGCTAACCTCGTCATCCGGGCAGTTGATTAGGGCGGTCGTCAACGGGCCGCAGCGCGTGCCAGGAACTATTTGCTTTTTCCAGGCTAATTTAGTCATTTTTTCCACCTTGTGAAGATAAGGAGCTGCTAATCTGGGAAAAAGTAGCCAAAACAGTGAAAAGTTGGAAAAAATGACTAAATTAGCCTGGAAAAAGCAAATAGTTCCTGGCACGCGCTGCGGCCCGTTGACGACCGCCCTAATCAACTGCCCGGATGACGAGGGTACAATGGTGCAGAGACATGGAGTGCTAACATGAGACGCATGAAACATTCTACTAAGAACGATAAATAACGCCGAGAGCATATTTTGTTTGTATCAGAGCGCAGTCAGATCAGTCTTCTTCACCAAACATGCCATTCGTAACCCGCAGCAACTAGCGGGAAAAACTGCTCTGGCTGCTCTCGTAAGTCACGCCCCTCCACACGCTCTATCTTTTGCAAGTCATGACGGTTACGTGACAACTAAAACTTGATGGAGGTCCTGCTGCGAAAAGCCATAGCGCAGAGAAACAAAGAACTGCGGCCGCCAAGGCATTGAAAGGTACAAAAACATATCGCGAGCCAGGAGATAATTGTCTCCAAACAGGAGGACACCGAGACAGATGAGCCACTTAGCGTGAAAAGTTGGAAAGTGAAAGGTCAGAGCGGTCACAGAACGCCATGAAGACGTGAGGGCGCAGAGAAAAACAGAAAGTTGGCGCCATTAAAGGGATTGAGGTTTAGTTGCCCTAGGCCGTCATGTCTGTATGCTTATTTCAAGGGTACTATGGTCCGCTTAATGATTCATAGTGTCGTTTACACTTCTCATCGGATCGGCAAAGGTGCAGTGGATGCCTCGTGACAGGGAACGTTTAGGAAGCATCATTTTGTCTCCCATCCGGCCTATTAACTAAATTGTGAACCAGACGGGAAGGCTAATTCACCGTTTTTCCTTAGCAAAACTGTAGCACGCGAGCAGATATGGCCTGGTTTCGTAGTGGATCGGTTCTCTATAAGAGATCACTGAAAGAACAAACCGATTATTGCCGTCATTAGAATTGGCTTTATGGCGAATCTTTTTGGAATTTTGTGTCTCACCATCCATAGACCGGTATCATACGGTGAGGTGAAAGGATAGCTCCACGGGTGAGTCTTGCAAAATTTTTGCAAGTTTATGAGCAGTGAGCTAGTGCCTGGCACACTTTTACTTAAACTTTCATGAAGTTTTCATGGTCTTTTGATGTCCTACTTTGCACATCTTCCTGAGCCGTTTCATTCTCCAAGATAACTAGTACCATCGGGACAGCGTTCAAAGTCGATAAGCCTAGCGCGAAAAAATATTATGTCCGTTACCAGACGCTGTATGAGGCCTTTTTCCACCAAGGGAACCAATATAGCCCTTGAGACGCTGCGGGACGCTGGTATGCGCTGGTGCACACCGGCAGACGCCAGATCGATATCCATACTTTTCCTGTTGACGCTGCCGGCCGCTCAAAACGCTAGTGGACGCTGCCGCAAAGCATGAACGCAGCCTTACTCTCTAGACAGAGGAACAAAAGACAGAGTTCTGGAAAGTGGGGTACTATTAAACACTTCATGCCCTGTTTGTATGTCCAGGATGCAATTTGCAGAACCGGACGCCCTGTAACAGCCCTAACACGAATGGTCGGACAGTCGACGGTGGTACTCTTATCGCTTCATTCATGAAGTACACTTGTTACGAACCGTTGCTATACTATGAATAACTATATACCCGCAGCCGTATATCGCAATGGTTGTTGGCACGATGTCAATGGGAAACTCGTCCAAAGGTGCTCTTTTTATGCTGTGCAGAACAAGGGGCTTTTTTGCATAGCTTCGGCCGTTCAACGTCGATTTTTCGTCATTTCTCCACCAAATGTATATGCCTTGTGCCTTAGAAGGCACGGTGTGCGGTCAATGGAAAATTGTCGCCGTTCATGGCATAATATACCCATTTTCACAGTGGCCTAGGTCATGGGCAATCATTTCGCGTTTACTTGATGTAACCTCAGTTCTTTCGCGTTTGAGATAGTTTATTCCACATTCCGGAGATGTAAAAGATGCCACTGCGGTTTACGTTTTGATGTCCCATAAAAAGATTTACCCTACACCATGTCTGTATAGAGAACCCTATGCCCGGGACATACAACGCGGTTTAGAGCACTTTCAGATTTGACAGTGCTCTGGTGGAACCTAGTACTCACCGTGCTTGAAGGGAAGCTGGTAAGCAGCTGCAGTTTCGTGCCATTTTCTGCATACAAAGGTGCACTAAAACGAGGCTGAAGTAGTGATACCTCCATGTCGCTCAAGACTCCACCCGTGCTGTTGCAGTGATAGTCACACGTTCAACCATATCCGAGCGCGCTGCTCGTCTGCGCCCTATCAATTCAGCTCATTCTCTACCGCTGATTGCGTGTTTTGTTGCAGAACCTTGATGTCAACGCAATTGCTGAGGATTGCGTCGGCCAGACGCAAACAGAATAGGACTATTAAGATCCCTCAGACTCATTTTCGGGCTATCAAGAGCCAGAACTGCTGCATTTTTAACTAGTTTTTCTCGCACATGGCATGGAAATTCTTTAGAGGTGAGTGTACAGGTGGTCTTAATTGTCCAGTCCTTTGACACAAACTGGTTGAAACCATTAACACTGGATTGGATAACCGCCCTGTTGGGCCCCAATAAATAGTAGTGTTCGGGCTCTGTTTATATGTAGCCCTTACGGTAGTCTCCATTTTTCCCCTCCTTTCCTCATGCTACTCCTTCTTGCAGGCTGCCAATGCTGGCTATGTAACCCTTCCTTTCCAATGCATCAGAGATAAACAAATAATTACATATATCCTTTTCAGTGTAGCAGTCAAAAAGATTCAATGACATTTCAGGATGAACCCTGCTCTTTTCGCTTGTTTCACTGCTTTTGCGATTTTCTGTGCAACACTTGGAGAGGCTCCTGAGTGTCAGCGTCCTCCACGCCCGGCTTTCCTCGACGGGGCCAACGAGACTGTCCGCCAAGAATTCCACAGCATCTTCGAAAACCACGCTCTGGCACCGGAGGCGAGGAGATCGCAGGTCATCGAGTTAGGCAAGAAATATGGACTTGAGGTAGGTTTGGTTTCCATTTCAACTAATTTGGCAGGAGCCCAGTGCTTCTTGTCAGGCAGGGACGATGCTTCACTCATTATTCGGCCTAAATTCGGCCTAAATTTAAGACAAACTTCACTTAAGAGGGGGGTGAACGGTAATGGTATTCCGTTACCATTTCCAGACCACGTCCGCCCTCAAGCAACAGCACTTGTGTCGGTACTAAACTCGTTGCGAACACGTAGTGAGGGTTAGAGAGTAACCAGACGAGAGGCGCAGCCAATAGCGCCCTTGGCTATGGTTGAGTGCGCGGCTGGAAGTGGGGGCAGCGCGGGCGGAGTTCGAGACAACACCCGGACAACATTACCATTCAGTTTCCATACATTTGTGGGTGGATGCCCATTCACCCATCACATTGCCAAGAACTAGGATCCGCAGAGGTCGGTGCAGAGTGTGTATTGAAAGCTACTGACCTGTATGAAAATGATGATATATGACGGCACAGTGACAGGCTCAACCCCGCCCATTCGACGAGTATGGATTGTGCCTCTTTTACAGCATACAGGAACATGTTCCCATCTAGTCCACGAGTCTTTCGAAAACCTTCCTGAGGGAAGTGTGGGACAAAAGGAGCTTTCGAGCACAAGTCCAAGAAACCGATTCTATGTATTGCGTGGAAATTTGTCCTCCTGCAAGATATATCTATGCGTTAGGGTGTGTTCGATAGAAGACTAACCATGGGGGGACCACTTAATGTAGTTGAGAGTGATTCATGTCAGCAAGCATTAAGACGCAAACTGAATCGATGTCCCCTCCTTCTACTTATGACATTCTATGGTTGCTTTCGCCGCAAGAGCAAGACAGGGTTGGAGTTGGCGCGGCGTTAGTCAATTTTCCTCCAGTTGTTGTCGCTTTACCGCTTGCAACTGGTAGGAAACTGGCTGACCCCACGCCAAATCCAGCTCCTGACACGCACAGCGTCTGCACGAAAAACAAATGTATCTCTCTAACATGGATTGGCGGTAGGCGTGGCTGCATACTTCACTTAGATGTGGCATGGTATGGATACCTTGGTAAGATGTTTCACCTTGAGACGACTGTCGTTTTGTCTCGTGTTGGAGGAAGAAGGAAAGACCAGTTCACAGTTGTCCCACATGAAAATGTCCCACCAAATGCGCAGCCGTCATAGCGCTCTCATGAAATACGCGGACACGCCCAAAGCATCTTTGAGGATATGGAGTATATTTGCAGCGATCTGTTGTGCATAAAACAGAAGTAGCCGGATTGTAGCCCTCATGTTCTACTCAGAAAGCATATTAAAGCTACTACACGACGCGAGTGTTTTTTCAGGACGAGGCAACAAAGTACGAAGATATGGTGAAGGATGTGATGAGCAAAAATGTAAGTTCATAATGCAGCACGTCTGTCATTCACGTATAATCATGATTAGTGTGTTTGTTTTTAGCCTCCTAACTGCGTACATCCAGTACCCGAGTTCTTGAAGAACGCCAATGAGACCGTTCGCAGTGAATTTTTCCAAATCGTCAAAGACCACAGTCTGACACGAGATCAGAAAAAGGCGAAAATCCTAGAGTGGGCCAAGCAATTCGGACCTGAATTCGAGGTGTGACCTATTTCTTTAGTATAGCAGTAGCTTAGAACATTTTTGAAGCGCTACTTTATCTACGGAACTCTAATACTGGTTACCCTGTGGCTCGAGTCATACAGAGGGACGGGTATGAGCAAGTGAGGCTGAGGAAATACTGTGGCGTCTTTCCGAGGACTGTCCTTGCCATGCGCGAGGCAAATGGGTCCACAGCTACACTAGTGTCCTTTTTTCTCCGCTCAAAAGTGCACGGAAGCGAGGCTGTAGGAGAGTGTTGCTCAAGCTGCCTCCACCTCTGCCCGGGCATTCTAATTGTGGAGCGTCGATGGAAAGCTATCGCAGCGAAACACACTTTCTGTGGCAGAGGACAATCACAATGGGGGAGGGGGAGGGGTGTAAAGATAAGTAGCGCGTTGAGCAATGCTTAGGAGTGTGGCTGGCTGTGCGGCAGTGCGTACTGGATATGGGAACGGCATTCGGGATCATCACCCTCCAGAATCGTCCCGCGCACTTTTGACGGAAAAAATTGGCGCTTTTCTGCAGATGGGACCATTCGTCCAAATACGGTCGCGGCCAGGATTCAATTCAAGGGACGTGTATAGCACCTTCGACCCTACTATCCTTCTTGAATAACACACCTCGGTGCTAACCTAGTTGGGAGTTACCACGCGGCTCGTGGCGAGTGATGACTTATGGGCTCTTCACTCACAGGAGGTAAAAATTTGATTTTTGTAGTCAACAATAACAGTCAACGACAAACATGCAACAAAATTTTGTAGTTTAGGCAAGAACCTTGCAGCCTAAAACTGTTTCTTTGCACTTTTCAGTGTTAACTGTTTTAACTTTCGAATATTTATTTAGCTATAATGTAGCTGGGACGATGTTATATTCATGTCCTAAACACGAAATTACTTCTATTTTGCCGAGGAGGGAGCAGAAAAGCCGATGAGTCATCACTCGCCGCGAGCCGCATGGCCCCTCCCAGCAACGTTAGCGCCCACACCTCTACTCTAGTGCTACCAGAAAATGAAAATTGAGTATTTTTATAACTGAAAACGGTCCCTTTCAGGCACAGGTAAAGCAGCACGAGGAGATGGAGGCGAAGCACAAGGTGGGTTTGAGTTACACTCTGTAACTCCCTTCTTTTAACGATCAATTGATTGTAAATTTATGAAAGAGAATATGAAGTGTGAGGAGTGATCAAACCCTTTTTGGAATGCGTCAGGCTTTCCACTCCTTTTCAAAACAGTGGAAGGCACTTTGAATAAGATTTTGCCCATATTACGTACAAAGTTCTGCTGCGATGTACGAACTACAGCTTTCTTCCTTCCGGACGGCTTCTTTAGTGATCGAGCGACCCAGTAGGGATAGAAGGCTTGGTTGCTCCCGTCGGAACTGTCCCGATATTCAATATAACCTGCATGGGATAAGCGTCGCCTCCTTCACTAGTCTGGGTGAGCATAGGCCACAATTCTCACCAATGATCAACGGCAGCTAAGTTAATAAGCCGAATACGTCAGTGCAAAATGTGCTGAAAAGTAAACCTGACATTTAAGGCTGGCCGAGATTGTCAACCCACTATACTGCTTCAAAATAAAACTTTGTTCGCTGCGGATGATGGGGCGTGGCGGTGAACCTGGGCTTGGCGCGTCGCGTACCGGTTCTCCATCAGCTATTGAATGGGATGGGCGGCAAGAATGCGTGTGAAACGACCGACTAAAACGATATGATACAGTCATGCCGCTTGCCAAAAAAGAATGGGTGGGCTAGCGTTGCGCCAAACTCAACCCCTCTTCTCTTAACACGCCCCACCACCCACGGCGAGCAGGACTGTATAGGATGACTTCGGTTGGTATCCGGTAAAGGAGCTGCAGGAAATACGTCTTGCAAATGGAAAAATGGGTGAAGCGTCAGGACATCAGTGGCTCACAAAATTTCTTCTGACCTCAACCTTAAAATACAGATTTTGAATTGCGTAAGTTTCTCCCTCTATCCCTACCACCTCCCTGACTCGCCCATAAATCTAAAAAGCACATAGCGGAAGCTGTTTGGCGGGATCTGATCCAAATTCTGTATCGTTAGGGGAGACCACATAAGTTTCTTCTATTCAGTGCCGAATACATCCAAGTTCTCAGGAAAAACGTTGACTCGAATCTTGGGTTAGACCACTCCAATAGCTGTTCCAACAAGATGGGGGCCCTTTTTCCCCGCAAATGCCGCTAGACTCCAAACTGAAGCGGAAGGCATGGCGCACCTTAAAAAGGATTGGTCAATCCTTAGGTTGCAATCTTTCATCTAACACTGTCAAAGAATGCTGCTGGTCGGCGCAGTTCGACGACGACGGGGGGGGGGACATTTTGCACGTCTGCTACTTCCCATCGACGTGTCGACCCATCTAAA